GTAATTGGCTCAGCGCTGAGCCAATCACGGCAGGCTTTCTATCCATTATTACAAGCCTGCCGTGATTGCGCCGCGACCCGTGATGCTGGCGTGATGGCGACCCATGATGCTGCCGTGATGGCGACCCGTGATTGCCGTGATGGCGCCGCGACCCACTGCAGAAGGGCTCGCGACCCACTTTTGGGTCGCGACCCATGAGTTGAGAACCACTGCTTTAAACTCTGTTAGGACATGGAATGTTCAAATCTACTTTACAAATTATATTGAAATCAGTTAGCACAGTACAGGCAGGGTTAGCACAATACCCTCACAGCCCCTCCTAACATTACAAAGAAGAAAAAGTAAAGTTTTTAAGTTTTAGTAAACTCTTTTTAAACTGCGGGAAGCATTTTTACATTATTTTTACATTATTTTTAAAAATTTTTTTATAGCTTATGCAGTGTGAATGGGAACATGTAACAAATAATATATTATCCCAATTTGGCTTCAAAAGTGGAAATACACTTTGCGTTTCCCAGAAACAATGTTCCTGGGAGACTCTTATGCTTTATTTCAATGTAGGGCAGCATGGGAAATGTCTTTCTAGCTACTGTAAAAGAGTTGAGCCAGTAATTTAAATTCCCCATTATGTAGTAGTATTTTTTTATTTTTTTTAACTGGTGCTTTGAAGGGATATTTGGCTACTGCTCTCCCTAAGATTGTATAGGTTTTTGAGAAGATTTGAACATACACAATTTCTAATCCATATTCTGTAATATTTTAGTAGTATAATATAGAAATATATGATGTCACAAAGGATTTTCTGGGAAGTGAGCATACCCCTATCTGCAATGTTCTATTTGCCGCCTTATAAATTCTTAGTCATGTGTTCTGTCCTCAAGATGTCTGGATTCATCAAATCTCTAAAAGGACAAATGGGAATGATGAATGCTTAGCACACAGGAAATATGATCTGTATTGAACAATGCTGTTTTTTTTTTTCTTATCTTATGTATTGTAGTACTGTGTGTGGGTTTTTTTTTTTTTATCTTGAGTGTTTAACTCATTATATGCTTATCCCTATTTTAAAAGTATTTCTACTTCAAATGTTATATTTCTCCCAATTTGAGGTTTTGCACACAAGTCGATGTACGGTTGGTTTTATCCTTTTCTTTTTGGTAATTGGGACACTGATGGCTGAATTAGTGCTAAGCAATCCCTTTCAGAATTAGGAGATTATAGTTTAGTTCTGCATTACTCAATCTTTACTGTTTCTTACCTTTTTGCAGAAACACCTTTTCACTATACCCACAATGAATCTATCTCTGAAATTTGTCTCTATTACACTTTCAGATCTAAAATCTTGCTTTCGATAGATCAGTCACTTTTATCATGCTTTGCTTGTCACATGATCTTTCCATTTACACACATTCAACTGCATGTTGACTAACTAGGCTTCCTCTGATATATATGTGTATGTCTTCTCTCTCCGCCCTCCCAAGGACGTTATATTTTGTCCTTTATAGGCTGTGGACTAGCAATCATTGGCACCTACTTGCTGATAACCTTTGGGCCCAATAGCCACGAGAAGATGACTGGAGAGAATATTGTCAAACATTTAGTGAGCTGGCCATTCCTGCTGTACATGGTAAGTTTCATTTTACCAGACAACTTTAAAAAGTAACTCCAGCAAAGTATAACTATTTTGACAAGTGTATCCTATATTGATTGTTACTATATTCATTCTCCACACACTAGGAACATGAAAGAATTGAGATGCAATACGCCTACCACTTAGGCATGGAGCCAGCTTCCCGGCCAGTCAGGGAGGCGGGTCATTACCCATTGCCTGGCTTCCTGATTGCCTGGGAAGTCGGCTCGATTTTGATTGACCAGGAGGCGTGTCATTACCCACGGCCCAGCTTCCTAAATGGTCGGAAAGCTGGATGCATGCTGTTTGGCTGGCTCAATGCTGATCGGCTGGGAAGCTAGCTTCCCAGCCAAACAGCATGGAGGTGGCTTCCCAGCCAATCAGGATTGGCCGGAAAGCCAGCTCTATGTTCCCTTGGGCACTGCCGGTCAGAGGAAATCTCCCTCTGACCGGAAGTTCCGGTATCGGGATAATAAGTATTGGAGCATTTTGGGGGTGCGAGTACTCGTCCAAATACTCTGTATCGGTACTGGTATAGGTATTGGTGCATCCCTAACTTACATAGTAGGTTCATAATGTTAATGCTGCATATTTGCATCAGTATGTTGTCTGTGTTGCAACCCTGGTGCTGTTTTTTTTCAGTGCAGGGCTTTTGGAGCTCTGTTCTGCATTGTGCCCAGGCACCTAACCTTAAGGCAAACCCTTGTTTTGCCCTTGCAGGGTAACAAGTTTACTTTAACTTCCTCCCCAGCAGTGCTTAACTTTCCTGCAAGTTGAGTACTAGTTACTGCAGGCCAGTTACCCTGTGTCTTGCAGTGTAGGTTGTGGTCAAATCATTATATTAAATTATACTAAACTGCTTGATATTATCTCCGTCGTTTTTGTACTAACGGGGGTTTCCTCCTTCAGCAGCCTTTTGGAGAAGAATAGAGGATCCTCCTGCTCTACTCTTTACTTTGCTTGGAAAAGTAAAGACCAAGCGTTCTGATTACTATGGTTCTTGAGAACCACTGAATCTGTGTTCACTGCGCAATACCAGCTTTTACCAACAGTGCCAGAGATAAGATCTAAAATGACAGCTCTTTGTTATCATAAAAATCTGAGATGCTTGCGTAGAGGGAAACGTCTTTTCCTTCTTACTGCAAAGAGCAGCAGAAGTGGATTCCTGCTGGACTGCAAATCTAATTTAATCTGGAGCTTTCATTTAAAATAAATGGAAGGTCTGATTCCTTGCCTGCCCATACAAAACATGTAAAAAAAATTAAATAAACAAAATATTTAACAAAATTAAAGGATTTTGATTTCTCAGGAGGCTGAGGTGATTTTACATCTTGTTTTGGCAGCAGGGGCTTGCAGGAAAGTAGACCTACCATTTGCATGGAAGGTCCTCTTTAATATTACTGAACGAATCGCCAGTATAGGTATCAGAAATAAGAAAAAGTATTTGAAATAAAGCCCTGCGATGGATGGATTTCTCGTATACCTTGTGTATTGTCTTCTCAGCTGGTGGAAATCCTTGCCTTTTGTTTCCTGCTATATTACTACAAACAGAAGAATGCCAATTACATGACCATCATACTGTTGCTGGTTGCATTGTTGGGTATGTAAAGTGTTTATATTCTGTCCTCCCATTTCACTGTGCCTACTATGTAAATTTATTTGCATGCATTCCCATAGACTTTTCTGTGCATTCACATTTCAGTACAAAATGTATTCCTGAAACACAACGCCTCCTTACAGGCATTGCAGGCATGAATAGTTTTATAACGGCCATTGCTGCTACCAGTGTGGAGCAGTAAAGGTCATAGTGAGTTTCCTATTTTCCCTCCAAACAGAGGAAAAATTAAAGGTGAAGAGCCTATAGAATAATGCTGCTATTTCATACTGGCTTCTTTTTTTTAAAGTAAAGATGATTATCTAAGGTCATTTAAAGGAGAACTGAGGTGAGTGAAAATCACACATCCTCATAGTTCGAGCCGACGTGTGACAACGAAACTGTCGCACGTCGGCTCAATAGCTCGGGAAGTGAGCAAGCACATACCGTTGCTCGCTCACTTCTCAATCATCTCTCTGCAGAGAGCGATGACTGTCCTCGCATGGATTCCCCCGCTCCGATCCTCCAGCGCTGAGTGGAGGAACGAACAAACAGGGGAGGGGGTGGGCACAGCTTGCTCTGCCTCTAGATAGGCAGAGCCCGCTATCATTTATGCAGCTTGGTGGATCTCTACAGCATTGTCGGGAATCCGTCCCAGCGGCGGTCTCAGTATACCGTGAGCTGTAGCTTGCGATTATACTGAGCTTTGGGTCATGGGAGGACCCAATAGTTCTCTTAAGTAGCAGACATATTTTCCCCTCTTTAGCAATCCATAGGTGTCTTCTAGACTACATGCAGGGCTGATACCACTTCAGTTTTCCTTCACTTATTTATAAACTAATAGAAATTTACTGTGAAAAATATGCGCCAGCTTATAATGTGCAGTGATAAAGAATTCCTTTATTATGTTGATGAATAATTCCTAACCTGCATACACAGTACTAAGTTGGAAGTGGCCCCTATAATTCAAAATAAATATTTCATTTCAATGTAGAAAGTGCAAAATTACCTATTTTAGTAATTTTACTGTGTGAATGTTTAAATTTATATATTTTATCTAATATAGTAAATTCTTGTGTGTATTTTCAGTACACTTCTTCAACAAATATCCTATAACCAACAGGATAAGAACGTAGTTACGACCCCTCGGTTTAGAAAAAGTTCACATGCACATATGTACTGTATATGGCACATTTAAATTTCATGTATTCCAAACATATAAACAGGTTGCAGGTAAATGGTATCCAAACTCTTCTCTCTCCAACCTATAAAAGTGATCCCAAATTCTGTTATGGATAAAACAAGAGAAATCCCTAATAGACTAAAAATGTATTAAACGTGCTAATATTGCATTTGTTTCTTGTTTCACTTTTACCATAGGAATATAATTTGACTTTATAATATTTTATATTTTTTTGTGTTTTACACTGCAATGTTTGTAGGCTCTACAACAGTGGTCACAGTGAAGGCACTAGCTGGCATGATCATTGTCTCCATACAAGGCAGCATGCAGCTGGGCTACCCCATCTTCTACATCATGTTTGTGTGTATGGTGGCTACAGCCATTGCTCAAGCATCGTAAGTAGACTTCCTCACATACGTTTATAACATATTTTCTAAATGCTTTTCTTGATATGTAACTATTGAATTTAAATATGCAGTGTTCTGTGTCAAATCAAACTGTTAGATACAAAAGCATTTGCATTTAAAGGAGAACTATGAGGTGAGTGATTTTCACTCAGCCTCATAGTTGGAGCCGACCTGTGACAATGAAACTGTCACAGGTCGGCTTAGTCGACCGGGAAGTGAGCGAACACATACCGGCGCTCGCTCACTTCTCGATCCGGTGCCGGCAGAGACCCGTGACAGTGGAGGGACTGGATTCCCCTCCTCCCCGCTCCGATCCTCCAGCGCTGACTGGGGGAGGGGGCGGGTACAGCTGGCTCTGCCTCTAGATAGGCAGGGCCAGCTGTCACTCACGCAGCTGGGTGGATCCAGACATAATTGTCGGGATCCGTTCCAGCTGCGGCGTCTCTGTATACCGCGAGCTGTTGCTCGCGGTATACTGAGCTTAGGGTGACGGGAGGACGCTAGTTTGTGTCCTCCCGTTACCCTTTGGGGAACTATGGGGAAAAGCCCTAACCCCATAGTTCTCCTTTTAAGGAACCTTATATACTTTTTAGATTGAAGTTGCTTCCATATTAAAACTGTAAAATAAGTCTATTACATATTTAATCTAATTTAAAAAATATAGATATTTGGAATGCATTAATTAAAATACAGCAAGATTGACAAGACTTGGGCTATTTCACATCTATAGCACCTTTTACATTAGTGTATATGTGGCCCAAATTTGGCTACAGATATCCAGCACAGTTCTCAACAGACTGTAAATCTGGAGGGGGAAAAAATTGTGTAGAATGCCAAACTTTATACTGTTGATAAAAAAGTGGAGTGGAATAGCTGACACTGTAAAGTATAATACACAGACAGAACTTCATTGTCAATTTTCAAGCATGGCATGACCAAATGTAACTGTCATGTCTAAAAGAGGAACTGAACTGTGGAAACTATTTGCGGCAAAGGTAAAAGAACTAGTCACCAAAATTTCCTGTGGTTTCTCTGCAGCTAATCTTTTCCCCATTACTGAATTACCACGAGAGGCAGGGCTTTACTTCCTATGACAAAGCCCCATCAAGGAGAACATTGAGCAGCACAGTACTGATATCACCAAATCGTATTCGATATATATCTTGGGATCTGCAGTCATAAGCATCAGTGCTTTAGATCTAGCCCCTCAGAAATACAGCTATGAGATTTTCTAGGCACACTCCCATACTAGGAACACAGCATTTGTGTGCTGCTTAGCCAAGATTAACATTTCTAATTGTTCCCTATAACACCATAAATCTTCACTTTTTGAATTCAGGTCCACTTTAAAAGAATGTGAGTTATGCTATTATACCACAGTCCTTGACTGCAGTAAAAAAACTATTTTTCTCATTGGCAAGAAGGTTTTGTATTTTTAACAAATAGTCTAACTTCTTCTCCCTTCTTCACAGGTTTTTGGCACAGGCGTCCCAACTGTATGATTCAGCCCTAATTGCAAGTGTTAATTATATCTTGTCCACAAGTTTAGCTATTTCAGCAGGTAAGACTCAAACGCATATGACTCAAGGTTTATATGTGTTTCACATCCTCATGAGAGAAGCAGTATACTATATCATTACATTGAACGTGGCTTTAAAAAAAAATGTTTCCTTCACTTCTTTAGTATGTAAAAATGGGGCATCCACTATGACTTGAAAACCTAAAGCCCAACCTGGGGCACAATAATTATAATTTTAGTAAGTTGTACAGTGGTATTGTTGTAAAGCTACCTGCCATAATCAGCACTGCCTCCTTCTCCCTGCAAAGCATCAGGTATACATGCAGACAGAAGTGCAACTCCCGCTTCATGCTCGTGCTAATATCGACTGTAGCACTGGTTTGGCGAGAAGGTCTCTTTAAGGGACTGAGGCAATGTTGTGTAACTAGGGGAAGACACCTAGGGGTGCCCACACTAAACAATTAATAATCAGAATAGACTTGCTTTATTCAGACTGAAATTATAGAGTATATGCAAAATAGCAGGCAGGCACAACATTTATTACTGAAACAGTAATGAATTATCTACATCGTGATGGGATGAGTCAAATATTTAGCCAGCCTCATGCTGCAGAAACCGGTCTGAATTTTTCATTGGGCAGAGGTGAGGCACCTCAGTATGAAAGGTCGGAGTAATGCTGACTATACACTTATCAGCAAACCTTTGTAAAGGAACTCATAAGTATTGGAAATTCCTATACTAGCCAGTGCTATCTAGGCACGCTAGTACCATGCAGACAGCACTTGCTCAGCTATGCACCAGGTCGGAACTTTTCAAAAATAAACCCCCTCCAGTTTATTTTTTTTCATTTTAGCCTTGCAGGAAGAAAATACTCTAATTTCCCCCATCCACACTAACAACTTGGATGGGGGGATTCTCCCACAGCCCCCACCCGGATAATTGTATTCTGACAGTGGCAAGTGTGCGCCTTCAGAATACCCAATCAATTACTGCAGTTGATTGGCCAAGAATTTTCTGACTGGCTCATTCTACAAAAGTGTATTGAAAAATGACTTTTGTCAAATGGATGGGTGTCAACTGGGCCATACATTGGGTGAATTTTGCCGAGTCGGCACAAAATTTGGCCAACGTATGGCTAGCTTAAACCCTGGGGGAACACTACCTGTGCGAGCAGTTTATCGTTATATAATATTTTTTTTTTTTAAATTATGACCCGTCTATGTCAATACAGTTAAGCAAAGTGTGATGTGGGAGTCAAGCAGTGATTATAAAGATGCTGTTCACTCATCAAGAGGCACATACGCTTCACTTGCAGTTAATGCTGTCGATTTTCAATATTTATCTTTCTTTAAGACAAGACATTGCTTTGTGTGGTCAAAATAAACCGTTTTCTAAATGTTTATTTTGCCATTAATTGCCTTGATACATGCCAGGAAAAATGATATTATAACCCATAGCCATCTGCTTATTCTAAGCCTCATTTAACTCTTTGCAGTTGAACTAAAATTTCTTTCTAAATTCTTAGGAGCAGTATTTTATGTTGACTTTCGAAATGAGGATGCTCTACATCTTTGTATGTTTGCTTTAGGGTAAGTGCAGCAATGAAGCTTTTAAAATTGGGCTTTTCTTGGTTTATCTTCTGAAGCTGTGAACACAAGTGACGGAGCATAAGCTTGCCATCAGTATGAAGTCACATTAGTCCTGTTTAAATGGGCTCAAGTCAATTTGTGGATTCATGTTACTACTACATATTGAACTGCATTTGGATTATTTGTATCAGTGTTATGCTAGATACCTAAATAAGGTGCAGAGGTTAGGGTTCTCCTTAGCTTTTTCTCCTAGTCCAGATAATAATCTGTGCGGAAAAAGGGTTTACGCAGACAATTATTCCTACTCTGAGAACCACTTGCAAGTGATAACTAGTGATTGCTCTATGTTCAGTTCAGTGTTGTAGCGATCAATCGTCTAAATTTGCAGCATTGTGCTACTCTTGGTGATTCATGCCAATGATTAGCCATCACTAGTGATTAGTTGCAGTGCCATCATGGGCAATTTTCACTAAAGCAAAAATTTCCAATGTGTCCAGCCTAAAACAGCATATTTTCTTCACTTGGCAGTGTATTTATTGTTTAGTTCAAAGATGACTTGGGCAATGTATGGCACAAGCTGAAAATGTAACTGTGGCCAGGCTGAGAACACCTAAATAACAATCAGTTAATACACTTTAAAACAAGCCCCCGGTAACCTATGTAGCTGCAGGCACTGATCCTTACAGTTTACAGCAGAAGCTTTGAATACATTTTCAGTCAGTACAGTTCATCTTGCTACCCTTTTCCAAGTAGTGAATCGGCAGCCTTTTAATCTTAAATGTGAACAAAGTGAAGGGGCTCTAGGGGTGGGCTGAGTGTGAGGTGACCTGCCGAGTCTTGAATGACTCTGAACTTTGAAGATGAATTGCGTCACAGTGTCTGCAGCTACAGTGGTCAGTAAGTATTTGTTTTAAAGCTCATTTTCAGTTTCTAAATATGGGAACACCTGAATCTCGATATCCCAGCCACTTTTATTGTGTTTATGTTTTATTTCAATTAAAGGGCTTTTTCAAGGTGTGTGCATGTCTTTATTTCTTGTTTACTCTTTGTGGTAATGGGTAAGGTGTACTAATGTACTCTTGTTCCCATTCTTGTGGAAGAGAGTGGATATCTGCGCACCCTCTTATTATATAGGGGGCTTCTAGACTCAACTATAGGTTCCGCCATATTACCCTCCCCTCCTTTTTGGGACACTGGAAGAAAATGTGTACTCATTTTTTAATTTTTAAACATTATCTGCATATTAACATTTGAAGATGTCCAGTCAAAGCGAATATCTTTGTTATTTAACTTGTTACAACAATAGTTTCTTACCACATTCTGCATGCAATGAAATAACTAGCTTTAGGAGCTGTCTTTTCATTTTTGTTACCATTTTTCTCCGTTGAATTTTACTGCTGGTGAGCTGTAGTTATTAACATGCACAGTGCTCTAGAGTCTGGTTTTTTGTTTGTTTGTTTGTTTTGTTTGTTTTTTTAACTGCCTTTTACACAGTGCTTAAACTACATCCATTTCTTTTGTGATGTTCAACGTTCTAGTTTATCTAATAAATTATTTTATTTCCCAAGGTGCCTTATTGCCTTCTTGGGTGTGTTTCTCATTACAAGGAACAGAAAAAAGACAAAAGCTTTTGAACCCTATGTTGAAATCAACTCCATGCCAGGTAAACTACATCTAACACTGGTTACATTTAAGCTTTGTAATTCCTATATAGCTATTTTTGGTTTGCTTTAAACCTAAAGGACTATTTATCATCCAACTAAAACTATACTATCATTTTTAAATGGACTTAAAAATGTACATCAAAGAAAAATTAAAAAAAAAATATGTGCAGCACATACATGCAATCCATGCACATTTGCCTGTTTTGTTTTTTTCCTTTTAAAGACCCTGCAAATGCAGATGAATTCCAGCTGATCTGCCAGAAATTTATGCAGCTCCTAATTTCCTATTGTGGGCTGACAACACTGAGCAATTTTATGGACTGAGTGTTGTCAACCCATTCCAGTTTTTGGGGGGGGGGGGTTTTGCCAAGTTACCCAACCACTCCCACAGTCTTCATCTCCAAAGCGAGGCACTAATTGACTTGTAGTCCCAAGATATGAACTGGGAGGGCTAAACTGACCTTGATGACACAGGATTTCTGACCGGATCAACTTAATTTTTTTTTTTTTGTTGCTCTTCTACAAACGGATACTAACAACACTTTAAATTGCATATTTAAAGTGCCAAAATGATGCAAATAAGCGAAGTTCTTAGGGTTTATATACACTTTAAGTCTGCCTGCTATTATTGGTGCTACACTTTGTGTAATGTTAACATATTCCAAAAACATCTGCAATATTTGTGGAAGAAATACATGTATTTAAATCAAAAAGTGAAACCAGTCTTGAAGCTACTAATACTAGACAGCAAACACTGCAACTCTAATCTGTAACTCAATGAAGCCAAAAATTGGAGAACACCACACAAGGTCACTAGGAGTGAACTTTGAGGCCAGATCTGTGTAGGCTGCAAGCTTCCTGTATTAGAAAACTAATCGACAGTTCCAAGGTTGGTTTATACTTGTTAAATGATGGTGAAAAGCCCTTTTTTATTTTAGATATTTTGTGCATCAGGCTTTCTGTATGTGAGAGACGGCAAGTATTCTGAAGTGAGTGTGTCTGGAAATTTCTCTCCTGCATCACAAGCAGTTCTTAGAGCACCTGATTACTGACAATTGAGACTTGGGTGCATTGGCACGCAACAGATGAGAAACTTGGCAGCTGCATGATTTTAAAGTTGTTGTTGTTTGTTTTTTTCCCCAATTTGGAATGGAGTGTATAATGTCAAAATGGCACTAATCGTTTTAGGGTCCAGCCTTAAAGCCCATTTCCACCTTTTTGTGGAGGTATTTTTGAAAAAGCATTTGCCAGCAATGTACACTGAATATACATGAAGCAGGCATATGCAGTTGCTGTATATGAACACAGAAACATACCTATTTTTTTTTTTTGTTAGCTTTTCTCTTCATATCCTTATGGAAATAGCCGCCTCAAGCTGTGTAAATTTACAACTGAGCTCTCCACCTCCCATTCATTAGTATTCATAGAGGCAACACCTCCCCCTTTCCCAGGACAGTGTATTGTGTGCAAAGCCAGAGCTGGTGTTTAGTGATCGTGTTACACAGAATCACAGGGACGGGGGACAGCTGTTTACAGCCTGCTTTACAATCCAAAGCCCGATGTCAGACTAAGTTTTCCTGTGGAGAAAATTTAACATTTGTAGGATTCAGGACTAATAAAAAGTTCATCGAAAAAATGAAAGCCTGCAATGCGAGTCATGAAAATGTGCACACGTATACATCATACCTACACCTCTACATTACCACAATAAATGCTAATCTCTTACAAGGGTGGAAATGGACTTTAAGAACATGAAACCTATATGAAATGGGGAAGGGAGATATGAGGAACAAGTTCTTATAAACTGTATATGCTTCAATGTGATTGTTACAAATATTTTTTTAGTGGTATACAGTCTGTACTATGTTATACTGTATATGCATTATTACAACTGATGGAAATTATCCTTTAGTGGTATGAAGCCTATACTATGCCAGTTATACTGTACATGCATAATTTCCATGGTTACAATTATCCTTTTATTGCTATAAAGTTTATACTTTGCCAGTTGTCATCTAAGAGAAAATCTGTTCTATTTGTTTTGCAGGTGTGACTAACATGCATGATCATGGCAATAATGTTCAGCCTGATTTTGGGAATTCCTTCTCTTATGGAGCTCTACGAAGTAATGATAGTTTATCAGAAATGTATATGCCAGCAACACTTCCTGTTGTAACAGAAGAAGCACCATCTTCCTCTCCACCGTATAAGATTTTGGAACATGATAAGGGTGAATAGGCTGATGCACAACAAATGGACTTGGATAAACTATGCAGCAAGAGTGTTCCTCTGGGTTTTTTTTCCTTGTACAGACTTAGTTCAAACCATTGTTAAAATATTGCATTTTTTTAAATCAGAAGTTATATGTATGTCTATATTGCAGTTTACTCTACCTTGGTGGTTCACTTTCAGTGAACTGTTTTATATGCCATGGTAATATTTGTTAAGGTGATTATACTGGACAAAGTAGAAAAAGCAAAAATGTTAACTTATATTCTAATCTATTTTTAAACTAGAATAAAAAGTGTTTATGCACCATTATTACACAAAGCACCTGTTTTTTTTTTCTTTTTGTTTTTTTACAAAATTTCCCATCACTTACTATCTTGACAGTAAGTAAGGGGAAAATCTCCCCAATCTTATAGCAGTCTTATAGCCCCAATACAATGGCTATAAGACTGTAACCGAGGCTATAAGCCAGGGGCTGGCAACTCTGGCCCTCAAGTTGTGCTTTAAAGAAGAGCCAGGAACTCCAGGAAAACTTTTTTTTTCTTAACCCTTGCAGTGGGGCTAACCCCATACTGCAAGGGTTAAGTGCTCGCTTGTGTATGTGCTAAAATAAAATTGTCACAGCGCTCCCTCCTGCCTTTCTCCTCCACTGCAGCATTGGAATCTTCCTCCGCATCCTCCGGTATAGACATGATGATTTACGGGACCTTAGAATTGCTGCAGAGGAGGGGGAGTGAGTCTGGAAGGACCACTTTAGGAACACGTCAGCTCAGAGCATCAGGTGAGTATAACTTTTTTTTTTTTTTTTTTTTACCTAGACAAAAATGAGCAGTTAACCCTTACAGTGTGGGGGTAACCGCACTGCAAGGATTAATAATAAAAAACATTTTCCTGGGGTTCTTAAACTACAATTCCCAACATGCTTCTGTATCTGGGAGTTATGCCTGTAGCTGCCACTCTTGCAATGGCTCATTTGACTTGTAGTTCTACAACAGCTGTAGTTGTCCACCCCTGCTGTAAGCCTTTCTAGCTCTATTCAAAATTAACTTAAAGTTTTGGCAGGAATTGGGACTTTAAAGTAGCAAAAGATTAAGCTGAACCCTGGGTAAAACAGCTTTAATATATTTCTTAGTAGCCACAAAGGATATAGATCTATTTTGTGTGCACCAAAATTCCTTTGCAAACTCTGTTACTATCTTGTAACAATAGTGGTGACATCACCCATATATTGTATATACCCTGTGTATAGAGCAGAGCTGTTGGAGGAATCCAGTAGACTCCACTCACTACATGCTGCCTGCAGAAAACTACGGGGAAGACCAGTCACCTTGCACAAGGAGAGCGAGCAGCCGTGACTGGTCTTAATACAGGAAGCTCCTGCACAGAGGGTTACTACACAGATCTGGAATGAATACACAGAGCACAACAAAATTCAAGTACGAGTATTCATGCCTCTTGTGTTTAGAAAATATTTGGTTTTACCGGAGTTCAGCTTTAAAATCGCCCTTAAAGTCTTGGCTCTACAAAAGGCTCTTCCTCTCATCTCACTGAATGGTCAACCAGAAGCTATGACATGAGACAGTTCAGCTTGGGTGTTTTATAAAGGCCAGACTTCCATCATTGGAGCCTGTAGGCACCCAGGTTTTAGTGGCTAAGCACCACTCTTCTACTAAAGGTGGCCACACATATTGATTTAAACATTTAATCAATCATTCAATGCAGCTAAACTGATCGGATTTGAGCGAGGGCTGGATCACACCCTGTGTTGCACCAATGTGCATGTTAATGCAACACATGTTAATGCAACACATGTTAATGCACTTTTGTTCATTAGCCAAGGCAATGCTGCACCAACGCACATGTGTTGCAGCACACCACAAAAATGCTGCTTGTACATTTTTTGTTCATTCTGTTGCGTTGGTAGCCCAGTCACACAGCTACATGAATAAGATGTTAAAATATATAGTTGATAATACTGAAGCAAAACTCAATTTGTGCTTTGGTAAAAAAAATTATCCTCTTTTAAGATTGTGTTCCTCAAACTGGTGACTAGGATTGTCTGTGTACAATAGTCCAGGGCTCAAAATTTCAAGTCCTGAGCTACTAGCCAGGCCTTAAAAGTTTTACTCCCCACCAGTTGCCCCATCTAACCCCTACCCTGCCCCGGACTTAACTCCGCCAGGTCAGTAATGTGACGCACAGCGCAAAGGTCAGTAATGTGACGCGCAGAGTTCGGAGTGACGCGCAGAGTTCGGAGTGACGCACAGCGCAGAGTTCGGAGTGACGCACGGGTCAGAGTGATGCGCAGAGGTCAGTGTGACGCACAGTGTAAGGAAGAAACAAAAGGGACTTACAGTGCACTTAGAGGCACCTGAATACCAGCTTTCTCCTGGTGGGGGGGGTTGGGGTGGAGGTCGGTGCAGAGATCCTCCATGTACCTTCTTTTCCCTGCTAACTTTCTGGATGGCCGGTCTCACCGTCTCTGCAGTCTTCCTCCCAGCCTGGCAGCTGAGGTGGGCGGAGGAAGCGGCAGAAGACGGCGAATGTCATCGAGGAGCGCCACCGGCGGGACCAGAGATGGGACACTAACACCACGGCGATCGTTCCCTTGTGTTCTCTCTTCTCATCGGACGCTCTGTAGCTACAGCGGCCGATGAGAAGAGAGAACAGAAGCGAGCAATTGCCGCGGCGGTAGTGTCCCATCTCTGGTCCCGCCGGCGGCGCTCCTCGATGAGATGAGTGGAAATTTTGAGGCCTGCAATAGTCACTTGATCAGTCAAACAGGTTTGAAAAAACGAAATCAAAGGGAAAATCTGCATCCCTAAGACTCCTGCCTGTATACCACTGTAAATAAAAGGCTTACTTCATTAAACCTAAAGCCAGATCTGGGATGCCTGAAATTTCCTGGAAAAATCACCCCGTCACACAACATGAAATGAGATTTGTAGAGATGCAGTGTCTGCACTCTGCATTTAAAATAATGTGATCAGAATTTTTATTTTTAAAATAATGTATAAGATTATAATATATAGAAAGGGAGCGCAGGGCGGTAGTAATTGTCATTGGTCATAAAAATACAATTAGCGGCTGCACTGCCGGTTGACCTGAAGCTTAAAGTGACATTTACCTCAGGAGTTAAATCTTACAAATTGCATTCAAGTACATTACCTATTAAGCGAGCAATTGCCGCGGCGGTAGTGTCCCATCTCTGGTCCCGCCGGCGGCGCTCCTCGATGAGATGAGTGGAAATTTTGAGGCCTGCAATAGTCACTTGATCAGTCAAACAGGTTTGAAAAAACGAAATCAAAGGGAAAATCTGCATCCCTAAGACTCCTGCCTGTATACCACTGTAAATAAAAGGCTTACTTCATTAAACCTAAAGCCAGATCTGGGATGCCTGAAATTTCCTGGAAAAATCACCCCGTCACACAACATGAAATGAGATTTGTAGAGATGCAGTGTCTGCACTCTGCATTTAAAATAATGTGATCAGAATTTTTATTTTTAAAATAATGTATAAGATTATAATATATAGAAAGGGAGCGCAGGGCGGTAGTAATTGTCATTGGTCATAAAAATACAATTAGCGGCTGCACTGCCGGTTGACCTGAAGCTTAAAGTGACATTTACCTCAGGAGTTAAATCTTACAAATTGCATTCAAGTACATTACCTATTAACAGAAATGTATCTTATTTGTATAGTATATCGCACAGCTGTAGATCATCAAATCATCTCTGAATTCATGCTGACACTGTCCTTCTGGAGGGTGGCTACATTTGTTCTCCATGGTCCCTGTGTGTGTTGTAAAGTAGCCACTGCTCCAAGCTTCCTCTTGATGGACTACATTCTCAGGTTTAGTTTACTAATTTAAATTGAGATTATAGTCCATCTCGGGAGTGAGCTTTGAGCAGTGGCTACCTTACAACACACACAGAGACCATAGGAAACAAAAGTAGCCACCCTCCAGAAGGAAGGACAGTGTCTGCATGAATGCTAAACCAATACACCGCGCTATCTCCCCTTATTGTGAAACAATTGAATATAACCCATAAACCTCCAAATAGACAATAAAACAACCCAAAACATACCTAAGTGTGTATACCACCATATATCAAGCGTACACATAAAATACAATATGTATGATGCAAAAAATATTGCTCAAGGTTCCGGTCAACAGGTATGAGTGCTGGTCTGTCCCAACATGCCCCCAGTGGCATAGTGGTATGTCTGTGTGTCATACGGTATCGGGTGCAAAAGCAGGCCCCACTTGACAAGGCTCCTTACAACTTAAACCTCAATTGCCAACTCAATCTTTATGTTCCAAGGCAGGACAGCATGGAAGGATTCCTGAGTATACTTTCCACTCTGCCAGTCACTCCTCACCTCTCTTGTGGTTGCAGCTTGCTTCATCTAGGCCAGAACAGGACATCACTTCCAACCCGCATCTTCAGGGTTTGCTCACAGGAGGGAAGATTTCAGCAGCACTTCAATCCTTAGGCCCACAGGCCTAAGAGAGACAGTTTTCACAGCGGCATTCTTACAAGGCAGAATGCCAGGAGAGAAGACCATGTGCCAGGAAATGTCTTAAATATTTTATATTTTTTCTGCTAGCTCACCAGGCCCCCCCACCCTGGTAATTGACCATGTCACTAAACATCCATAACTCAGAATGGCACTTCTCTGGCCCACCCAGCTGGAGCAAGCTCAAACAGCAAGTGATTAAAAGTGCACTCTATGCTTACAAAACACTAAGGGCTCAGTCACACTAGATGCAGTGCGTTCCGGCCTGATTTTGGCCGGAACGCACTGCCTCGCATTGCGGCCAGCTCACTTGTTAGTGGGGTAGGAGGGGGCGTGGCGGGCCATTCAAGTGAACACGCCCTCTGTACGCAATGCGATCCGCACGGGATCGCAAGGCACATTGTGCCTGCGGTCCGGCCCTGTGCGATGCGATCAAAATAGTGCTTGTAGCATTTTGAGCGCACCGCACAGGTTCGGACCGCAGTGCGTTCCGGCCAAAATCGGGCCGGAACGCACTGCATCTAGTGTGACTGAGCCCTTATAGGCACACGCAGACAGGCTGACTACAGCCCTCTGTTTCCTACAGATGCAGAATCAAAAAGGATAAAGATGGAATTTAGGAAAATATTACATTCCTACATATTTTGCACTGAAATATTTTCTGTAGTTTCTGCTGTATTAGTTGGCTGTCAAAGTGGTCCTGAGCCACCAGTTCCTGATCACTTACAGTGACCAGGAGCAGTCGGTGACAGCTAAGTCACTGTACAGGGAGTGTGCGTACAGCAAA